AGACTATAATGACAGGTCCAGTCAGTCCAGAGATCTCATGAGATCAGGCTGGGGTAGGATTTCCTCCACTGAGTATTTCTTACATGCATCTTATATTTCCTGGTCACTTCCTTGCCCTTAGGACAGTCCTTTTCATTGTTTTACAAGTGCAAAGACCTGAGAGGTTTGTACAGTTTTTGGAAAAGGAATTTTTTCTGTCCTTTCCCAGAGAGCTGAATGATGATTTTTTTCTCCCAAAAGTCCAACTCCTGACAAGTACTTACATAAATGGTCACTTGCATGAATATTGAACTACTCACATGCTTTATATTAAGGCCATACATAAGCAATGCTAAATTGTGGGTTTATTCAGTATGTACCACAGTGCAAGGTCAGTAGTTTGCCAGAGACAAAGGAGGAGTATTAAAATCTGTGAAGAAAAGCTAACAAATAAAGCAGAAAGAGCAAGGCTTAAAAAAACCCATTTCAGTCCCTGTAAAAGATCAGTACCCTGTAAATGTGTTTGTCGTTATAATGTTTTTGCAGACGTGTACACTGCAAAAAGACACATTTTACAATAGTTTTAAGGCTTTTTTCTGCATTTCATTAATGCACTGTGAAAATGTGTGTCATTGTGTAAAATATCATTAGATTATAATTCTCTGTCTTTTGTAGGTAGCTATTTTGAAAGTACTGCCAGAAACACACAGCACTCCCACAAATTGCCTTTTTTAAACTAAAGAACAGCTTTACAGATTCCCTTGACACCTATTAAGTATGAGCTAATACTGCCTTCATGCCACCTACACACCATCTCAGCATCCATTCCTTGGTTTTGAATGTCTGTGCTTCCACATCCTACACCATTTGGGGGGGAAAAAAAAAAAAAAAAAAAAGAAGGAAGAATAAAGAGAAAACAACTCCCTCCCATTCTTTCTCCCTCCTCTTAGGAAAAAAGGGGGGGAAAAAAGAAAAAAAAAAAAAAAAAAAGGTGGCCTTTAGCAGTAATTGAAGCTTTGGTAGTCATCAGTGACAATTTTACTTAATCTTTTAAAAATGTGTCATTTTGAAAAATAACATTTTAAACCCTAATGCTTTTCTAATTAAAATAACTATGACTGTAATTCACAGATGGTTTACTTTTACAGGAGTCTGAATGGCATTAAAATTTTAGACTCAAGTGAGAGCACTTTGTAGTCCAGAAAGTACTGAAAAGTGGTACCTTAGTGGGAGAACATTTTAACCTTTTTTCCCCTAGGCAAGCAGGAAACATTTTGTGATTAGAGAAGAGACCAGGATGAAGACAGGTGGCATTCTCTAAAGATGTTTTGATATCTGACATATGAATTTCCAATGTTTTTCAGCATTGTTGCTTTCACTGAACACCAGAACTGTACCAAGGGCAGTGAGACTAGCGTGTTCTTGGTCAGCTTTAGAGGGTATCAGCCTTAGTTCACTGATGGAGCAACACAAATCTCCAGCCATACTGGAGATATATATACATATAATCAAGTATGCTATAGCAGCTTCTTCTGTACATGTTTCTGTCTAGAGGTCTGCTCTCAATAGACCTGGCATATGATATAAAATCTATAAATAGCTTCTATCTGAATATAAACATTAATTTGTGTTGACATTTTGTATTTCTCTCATTCATTTAAAAACTGTAGTAGGCTTCTACTAATGAAGTTCATGGCATAAGTGATGCCACAATAACTCCATTTACGTTGTTCCTAGGATGTAGGATGGGAGACAAGAGTGTTGATGATTTCCTTGTCCCATTTGCTGACACTGTGACACTACAAGGCCAGACACTTGTAGCTGAACTGACCATAACCTTGAGTGATGTTCTTGGCTGTGATTTTGTGACTGCACACTGCAAAATAAATTGGAGCTCAATGTGTATTGAGTTATGTATTATGTGTATTGAGTTATGTATTATGTGTATTGAGGTTATGCATTTGAAATATAGCCTAGATGTTAATTGTGAGACTAATTGAGAACAGGGCTGTTAATTTTGCCATGGGCATTGCTTTTAATCAGAGCTTTTTTTAAGATTTCAAAACGTAACATTTTTCCCCCTTCTTACTGTCAAAATACCATAATATCGCCCCAGTAGAGAGGAATGTTTTAAAGACTTTCAAT